GAACACTTCCCAATTCATTTTACAAGGTCAGTATAACCCTGATACTACAACCAAAGACAGTACCAAAACAAAGCTGCAAACCATTACCTCTAATGAACTTAGATAAAACTATCTTCAACAAAATACCATAAAAAGAATTGTACTTCATGACTAAGTGTGATTATTCCATGTATGTGAGACTGATTCAAAATTTGAAAATCAGTATAATTCATCATATCAACAAGCTAAAGAAGGAAAATGCATGATTATATCAATGGAGAGAAAAGGCATTTGGCAAAATCCAACTCATTCATGATTTAAAAAAAAATCAAGTTAGAAACACAGGAAAATTAATTTGTCAAGAATTATCTACAAAAAATCTACAGCTTCTATTTAATTGTGAAAGATTCAATGCTTTTCCCCTACATTTGGAAACAAGGCAAGGATGTCCACTGTCACCACTCTTATTCAGTATAGTCCTAGAACTTTTAGCCAATGTAATAAAACAAGAAAAACAAAGGACACACAGCTTGGAAACTGTCTCTATATTTGGTTTTGGTTATTTTTGTTTATTTCATCAGCAATAATTTCCCAGGATATGGTTAAATAATTAAAGCAATATAAGTCATTCATTCTTATTTCCAATTCCAAAGTAAATGACTACAGGATTTCACCACAGGCTATGGTATTTTGTATAATTAATGTTTAAGCAGTTTCTGAATTAATGAAGCTTTGAGGAATAGCTGCTGAATTTCTCACCAAAATTAAAACTTTGCTCTGTGAAAAGATAAGATACAGATTAGGACAAAATATCTGCAAACCTCATCTGACAAAGAAACAGCATATACAACATATAAAGAACTATCAAAACTCAATAGTAAAAACTAAACTATTTAACTAAAAAATAGGCAAAAAAAATGAACAAAATTTCACCAAAGAGGATATAGATACGGCAAATACATCTGAGGTCTGTCCAGAAAGTATCCAACCATGTACTATGAAAAATAGAAGATACAAGAAACATTGTACACAGGACAATAGTGCCTTAGTCCCCTTCAAAGTAGGCACCTAGGGACTTCACATAGTTTTCCCAGTCACCGTCAGCTGCCTCATCATATTTTCCTGAATCTTGATGGTCTGAAATCTCTTCCCTTTCGAAGGTGATTTTAGTTTTGGGAAAAGCCAGAAGTTGCAGGGCACTAAATCTGGCCTGTAGAGGGACTGAGTCACCTGGGTGATTTGATATTTTGCCCAAATACCCTGCACAAGATACAATGTATGAGTTGGCACATTGTCATGATGAAGCTGCCAATCACCAGTTGCCCATAGCTGCAGCCTTCTGAATCATCCAAAAAGTTTCCACAGAGGAATGTGCAAGCTTAACACAAAATTTGACGCAGATTCATTGATCTACTCGCTCAGTCATTTTGAATGCATTGTCCACACAGTACACATGCTCACTCAACAGTGTTTACCACCCCCACTGACTAGCACAGTGAAGTTGTCATTGTTTACACATATGCATTCCAGTCCACTCTCTTTGGGTGCCAGGTTACATTGAAGTCACATACACATTCTCATTATTTTAATGTGGTTGGACATCTTCCCGACAGACCTTATATATAAAAGCATGTTTACCACCATTAGCCATAAGAGACATGTAAATTTAACCACAATTAGATAACACAGCACACCTACCAGAAAGGTTAAAATAAAAAATCGTGACAATACAAAATGCTGACAAAGATGCAGAGAAACTGGATCACTCACACCTTGCTGGTGGTAATGTAAAATGATACAGCCACTCTAGAAACTAGCTGGCAGTTTCTTATAAACAAAACATCCAAAGCCATATAACTGCCCCCTTTACTTCACCAATGACAGGTAAGATTCCTCAAGGGAGGGACAACCCAAGACAGGCATGGACATGAAGGGGCCCTCAGGGAAAAACTTGGGGGGCTGTATAAAAGAGGAGTCATGGGCCCTCGCCCCTCAGCTTTGACAAAGCCTGAGTCCTCATTCTGGCTGTAAGAAGTCCTAATCTCTTGGCTGCCTTACTTCCGCTGCCTGACTTAAGCCTGAAACAATGCTGCAGGGTGGTGCAGCCCTGAGCAGGAATGGGTGGTTCCCTGGGGAAATCAGGCCTAAGAAAGAATGAATAAAATCCTGTGAAACATGCTTTGCTAACAATATCCTCAGTTTTCTGATAAAGGTCCTAGCAGGAAATGAGTTTGTTTCCCAAAGTTTTATGGCCCTTTACTAACTGACCCTGACTCAGAATAAGCCCTCAGAGTTCTTTGAATGTTATCTATTGTTTGATCCTTACTGCCTGACAATGACGAATGAAGACCTTCCTTGAGGGAATGCTCCCAGAAAAGCAATAAAAGCCTGTCCCTGCAGGGGTCAGGACACACACTCTCTCTCCCTCTCTCTCTCAGAGAGTGGCTGTGCTATCCCTTTTTCTCTACAGGATTTCTGTAGTCCGTGTGAATTTGTTTATCTCATCCACAACATATGGACCCTGCTGGACAGAGTCCGCATCAATAAACTATATGATTTCATTTATATAACATTTTTGAAATGACAAAATTTTGGAAACAGAACAGATGAATGGTTGCCAGAAATTAGGGATCAGGTGTATATGTGATTACAAAATGCCAACATGAGGGATCCTTGTGATTATGGAAATATTCTGTATTCTTGACTTTGTTGGCAGATACACAAAGTTATACGTATGATAAAATTATAAAGTGTAAAGTAGAATGGATTAAATGTACACAGTATACACTACCTCTCTTATGATAGCATATAAATTTACAATTATCTAATTTTTAAATTAATATAAAAAAGTAATACTCAACATTACAAAAATTCAAAACTTATCGTGGTAATCATTTCACAATATATACATATATCAAATCATTATATCATATACCTAAAACAAATACCAATAAAAACTAATACAAATAGAGTAGTGAGCAAAAGTAGGTTTATAGTTGTGAGTACGTAAAAGTTTATTTTTGTATTATCATTTATTAATTATTGTATTTTTTCTTTTCTGCCACTGTGTATAATTTTATTGAATTTTTATTGAATTTATTGGGGTGACACTATGATATTACTTTCCATATGAACAACTAACTATAAACCTACTTTTGCCCACACTTTCATCTCCCAATTCTGAAAAATTAGGGAATTCAGACTTCTGCTTGGAAATCTCGAAAGCTGAAGAAAGCATTTCTCCCATCATTACAACAAATTTAAAAGCAAGACAATCTTTAAAGTCACTTCTCTTAAAATAATCTGAGGGCTGAGATTGCAAGGTAACCGAATAACCTGAAATCTAAGAAAAGACAAACACATTCAAGTAGAAACAGGACATAAGTACTGGCTTGCCTGAGGCAGATACCACCAAATGCTATATAATCTGGTAACAACAACAAAAATCATCTAAGAGTTGTATCAAATTGCTAGAGGCTGGGTATGGGCTCGCTTGAGAAGATAGATCCCTGGGGAGCACAAGAGAAATCTGAAACCACACGCAGCGTCTTCTCCACAGACCTCACTAGTGCTTTACAAGGAGGATTTGGGGTGCAGGATGAGGGTTCTGAGAAGGCCATCCCCCTGATGCAGGCGTGGAGAATAGCAGCAGGTGTAAGAAAAGAAAACTGTCCTTCCTCCCCTCTCCTTCTCCCCTATCTTCCCAACAAATACAAACCTCAAGGGGCAGGAACAGCAAAGCTTACCACCTTTAGGGCATTGATGAAGACCTACAGCAGCTGGGGGAAGGAAATAGAAATACTAAGCCTTCTAGTCCTGGGAGAGGGGCAAGAAATACATCACAGGTGCAGAATGCCAGGGACACCTTGCCACTGGGGGCAGGGAAGGATTATTAAGAAGCCTCCATTATGATATCCATGGACATACTGCCTGACTATGAGACTGCCTTAGGACAGCAGAAAATGCCCCTCTGCTGTCTGCACTTCCTACCACCAGTAACAAGTAAAAGCAGTCAAAGAAGAATATATTTGAGTGGCACACAAGTACCTAAAGATGTTCAACATTAGTCATTAGGGAAATGGAAATTTAAATTTCAATGATACCACTACATACTTCTTAGAATGGCTAAAATTAAAAAGATTTCTTTGACAATCCCCAGTGCTTGCAAGAATATAACTTAACCATAACTCTCACACATTGCCCATGTAAACTCAAAATTGTGCATCCAATTTGGAAACCAGTTTGTCAGTTTCTCATAAAGCTGAATGCAGACTTGCCACCTGACCCAGCAATCTCATTTCTAAGTATTTACTAAAGTGAAATGAAAACTTAGAGTCTCTCTCTCTCTCTCTCTCTCACACACACACACACACACACACACACACACGAACACCTTTATATGAATATTTATAGTGGCTCTATTCATAACCACCAAAATTGGAAGAAACTCAACTGTCCCTTAAGTGGGGAACAGATAAACAGTATGATACAGCCATTCAATGAAACATTAATGAGCAATACACATAACAGCACAGTTGAATCTGAGCATAATGTTAAGTGTAAGTAGCCAAAAACAAAAGGTTACATACTATATGATTCCATTTATACAATATTCTTGTAAAGGAAAAACAGGGCAGAGAACAGACCAGGGTTTTCCAGACTTGACTATATATAATGGCTGTGAACTAGATGGGGAATATCAACACCTTTAGAAGTGTTAGGGGTAAAATTATAATGTCTGTTGCATAGTATGAAAACCAGTTACTCCCCCCGCCTCTCCACACCCCATAATTTTATGGTCCTAATGAAATTCCAAGTTGAATGGACAATGAGAGGATTTGAACACCGTTCAAAACAAGACTGGCGCTTCCCTCCGCGGTAACTGGAGCGATTTGAGAGTCTCGCTTTCACTTCTTCACAGCTTGGAGATGGGATTTCACCTTGCAGAGGAAGACTGGGTTTTTGCCCTTGTCTAGTCCCGGGCGGACCTCGCAGCAGCCCGGGCGGACCTCGCAGCCCGGGCGCAGCAGCTCCGGAGCGCGCGCGCGGTGAGTGCAGGAGCCGGAGGCCGACTCAGTCCCCCGGCCGGGCGCTGCTGCCGGGCGGCCCACGGGGAGGTGTGCGCGGAGCCCGCGACCTCGGACAGACTGGAAGGCGGGCTGGCGCCAGCGGGCTCACCGCCTAGCTCCAGTGCCTCAGTCGCGCTGTGGGCTCCGCCGCCGCTTCCGCTGCCCGATGGCGAGGCTCCGGGATTGCCTGCCCCGCCTGATGGTCACGATTCGGTCGCTGCTCTTCTGGTCCCTGATCTACTGCTACTGCGGGCTCTGCACCTCCATCTACCTGCTTAAACTTTTGTGGAGCATCGGCAAGGGACCTGCGCAGACCTTCCGGAGGGTCTCCCGGGAACACCCGCCCCCGTGCTTGAACGACCCTTCCTTGGGTACCCACTGCTACGTAAGGATCAAGGTGAAGGTCGGCGCAACCTCTGCGTGGTTGGGAGGGAACGTGACGGCAGTGAGAGCAGAGGGCGCGGGGCTGCTCCTTCCACGACACGTGCCAGGCGGCCCCTAGTGTGTCGGGCTTGCAGGGCGCGCGGCAGGGACGGCTGAGATGCCGCGGGGAGGCGAGAGGGGCGCGGTGTGGCTGGAGAGGTGTCGGACTGTTTGTGTGTTAATGTTCCGCGTTTCGTTTTTTGGGGGGATGGTAGGAGAAGGAATAGGTGGGGGAAGAGAGAGAGGGAGGGAGGGAAGGGGAGAGAGAGAGAGAGGAAGAGAGAGAGAGGGTTATGTGGAGTTTCTGTAATCAGGGTCCTATTATATTAGTGTCCCACCCTCCACCACAATCCAGAGTAATTTGTTGCCATTTCTAATGTAAGGGGAAGCTATTTCCCGTCACCTTTTTGTCCTTCAGAGCTCAGATCGGCTGTAGGGAATTGTTCCTGGTGAGCCCTACTGTCTCAGAAGTCTGTCCTTGCTCAAATATTAGAGATTGAGAGAGTGAAGAGAGTAAGTCATCACAAACCAGAGTTTTAGGTCAGCAGAATGGAGCATTCACAGATGACCTAAGCAGCATGAAACAGTAATTAAATGGTGTGTATTTGTGGAGAAGGAAGCCGACTTTTGACGTTAGAGACCAAAGGAATGGAATAAAAAGTAAATGTCAGGCATGCAAGCATTCTTTAATTGTCCATGCTTGTGTCCCAAGCCTCCTCACAGCCCACAGATACTCTGTTTCCTGAGGCTCCAGGTGGTGCCCTTTGTGATGCACCCTGCAGTCTGACTCACAGGCCTTTCCAAAGGAGCCTCACGGGAGGGTACATTTATGTCGCCAAGTGGGGGATTCCTATTAGGAGCTAGATTGTCCAGCAGCTAAAGTTCAGAAGACCAAGGGATATGCCTTTCTTACCTTTATTCAGTTTAGGATTGATATGAGAATTAAATGAGTTAATATTTGTGAAACAACAGCAACAAAAAAGACCAGTGTCTGGCACATAGTAGGTACAAAAAAAGCAATTTGTTCACTAAATCCAATTAAGTGCCCACAGTATTTTATCTTCCAAGACATAATACCAATAAGTTATTGAACTAGGAAGACATTCTGTAGTTGAGGGCAAAGTGAAATTTATTATCTTCATCCAATATGAGGAGAAAAAACTATTTAAAAAAATCATCTGAAATTCCCCATAATGCCTTTCTCATCAGTCAGCTAAAGAGTTGCCCAGGAGACAGAACCAAGGAATGGAAAGAATATTGTCTTCGGAAGTGGGACTTGATGAGGGTTCTACTCACAGACCTACTCCCAACCAACCTCATGATCTGTGTTAACACATTTGGCCTCAGTTTCTAAATCTGCAAAAATTATGGCGTTGGATTAGATGACCTTTAAGATTTTTTCACACCTAAATACCCAATTGCTTGGGTAACGTAAGATAAAACCCAGTGTCCATGCTCACCTTTTGGTTCTTGGTTTCTTTCCTCATTTTTTCCCCTGGGTTTTTGTTTCTCTTTCTTGCTTTTTTTCACCAGTTTCCTCCCTTCAGTTTGCTTTGTATCTGCTGTATTCCTGACTCATCCCCATGTGTTTTATTTCCCTTGGGCAGTCTTGTCTCCTACATGCAGATGAAGTCTTGAACACTCAGAGCATTCTGCTGTTACAAATACATTGATGTGACGTGAGGAGCAGGCAGCGAAGGGAACTGTATGTGCAACCATCAACTTAAAATAATGTGGGAAGGAGGGAACTAAAAATATGGAAAGGAGGTGTGAATTATATAACCGATGGCACAGCTCTTGACAGGCAAGCTGAGAAAATACATAGCTAGGAGGTAAACATGGCAGGAATATTAATTCAAATCAGAATTATTTACACAGCCTGTAGAATTTGAATGAGATGAAATGTGACACAGCAGTAAGAGAAAAGTCACAGATTGTGACATTGTTTCAGAAGCTCATGATATAGAAATTGCCCTTGTGCGTAGAAGAAAGGCAGGTACTATAAAGGGAATGTTGACAAAAGTACACCTGTCAGTTTACCCTCCTGATAAATCATGAAGGTTTTTCTTCTCAAAAAATTAATATTTATTTTATTGCTCATTATTAAAAATAATACAAGTGTGTTTTTAATGAAATAAAAATACTAAATGTACTGCTTTGACAATCAACACAAATCAGCACTAAAATTGTATGCCCTCTATTTGCTACGGCAGGATTCGGGGTTAAGATTTCATTATGTTGCTGCTGGAGAAAGAGGCAAACCACTTATGCTGCTACTTCATGGATTTCCAGAATTCTGGTAAACTCACCAATTAACTTTTTCATTTGCATTTAAGACTTTGCTTATCAGAATGTTATACATACTGAGACTTTAGTAATAAGTGCATTGAGGAGGCTAGTACACTAGGCATTAAAGAAAAGAATGGAGGATGGCAAAAACCCATCTACTTCAGTTTTTCAGAGTACAAATTCTTGAGAAGATACTCTCTGGAGAAGATACTCTCCGGAGAAAATACTTACTACGTAAAGATTTTTCTCCACTCTGGATTTACCTGCTTAAATAAACATAAGTCTTTTTCATGTCAAACTTTTATTTTATTCATCTGGAAACAACTTAATTGGGTGGTAAACAGCCCATGCAAACCAACATATATATATAGGCTTCTTTAGTGGAGTATTTGACATAATTGGCTCACGACAAAAGGTAAGTCTGAAGCATTAGTCAAATCTGCATAAAGTAACACAGGCAGTGAATTTTGGCTCAGTCACTTAGTTGCTTGCAGAGTCATGAGGATAAAGAAAGTCAAAATATATGAAAGACCTTTCACATGGCCCCAGTGAATACTCACTAAGTGTCCAGTTTTTTCTTCATTTCCATTCATTCAGTGTGGAGATCCGTGTGCCAGTACTAACATCCTCAATGCATTTATTAATAAAGTACCTTTTATTAATAAAATATTAGAGTGTATCAAGGTAATGCCTTTTCCAGAGCTAGGTACATTTTAAATCAGGACTTTGGATAGCACAAAACCTTTAAAACTCTGCCCTGCCTGGTGTGGCTCAGTGGATCCAGCGCTGGCCTGCAAACCAAATAGTTGCTGGTTCAATTCCCAGTCAGGGCACATGCCTGGGGTGTGGGCCAGGTCCCTGGTGGAGGGCATGTGAGAGGCAACCACACACTGATGTTTCTCTCCCTCTCTTTCTCCCTCCCTTCCCCTATCTCTAAAAATAAATAAATAAAATATATATTTTAAAAACCTTCAAAACTCTAAAGGAGGTGAATATGTAATTGTGGGATTCTAAGTGGTAAAAGTAATAGTAAGGGAGAAATTTGGGGACAGGGCATTGTCTGAGACCTTTAAAAATTAATTTTCTAATTCTGGCAGAAGATGATGATGGTGGTGATGATAGTTAACATATACTGAACATTTACTATGTACCAGGGGCTCTTCTTTTTTTTTTTAAGAAATAAACTTTATTGATTATGCTATGACAGTTGTCCCATTTTTCCCCCTTTATTCCCCTTCGCCCTGCACACACCCTCCCACCCACATTCCCCCCACCCTTTAGTTCATGTCCATGAGTCATACATATAAGTTCTTTGGCTTCAACATTTCCTATACTATTCTTAACCTCCCCGTCTATTTTCTACCTACCATTTATGCTTCTTATTCTCTGTACCTTCCCCCCTCCCCCTCCCACTGCCCCCACTGATAAACCTCCATGTGATCTCCATTTCTGTGATTCTGTTCCTGTTCTAGTTGTTTGCTTAGTTTTTGTTTTTGTTTTAGGTTCAGTTGTTAATAGCTGTGAGTTTGTTGTCATTTTAGTGTTCATATTTTTTATCTTCTTTTTCTTAGATAAGCCCCTTTAACAATTCTTATAATAAGGGCTGGGTGATGATGAACTCCTTTAACTTGACCTTATCTGAGAAGCGCTTTATCTGTCCTTCCATTCTAAATGATAGCTTTGCTGGATAGAGCAATCTTGGATGTAGGCCCTTGTCTTTCATGACTTGGAATACTTCTTTCCAGCCCCTTCTTGTCTGTAAGGTTTCTTTTGAGAAATCAGCTGATAGTCTAATGGGAACCCCTTTGTGGGTAACTGTCTCCTTTTCTCTTGCTGCTTTTAAGATTGTCACCTTATCTTTAGTCTTGAGTAATGTCATTATGATGTGCCTTGGTGTGTTCCTTCTTGGGTCCAACTTCTTTGGGGCTCTCTGAGCTTCCTGGACTTCCTGGAAGTCTATTTCCTTTGCCAGATTGGAAAAGTTCTTCATTATTTGCTCAAATAAGTTTTTGATTTTTTGCTCTTCCTCTATCTCTTCTGCTACCCTATGATTTGGATGTTGGAATGTTTAAAGATGTCCTGGAGGTTCCTAAGCCTCTCTGGATTTTTTTTAATTCTTGTTTCTTTATTCTGTTCTGGCTGTATGTTTCTTTCTTCCTTCTGCTCCAAACCATTGATTTGAGTCCTGGTTTCCTCCCTGTTGCTGTTGGTTCCCTGTAGATGTTTCTTTATTTCACATAATGCAACCTTCATTGCTGCCTGGGTCTTTTTTTTTTTTTTTTATGCTGTTTAAGTACCCAGCGAGTTCCTGGAGCATCCGAATAACCAGTGTTTTGAACTGTGCGTATGATAGTTTGGCTATCTCTTTGTTGCTTGGTTGTATTTTTTCTGGAACTTTGATCTATTCTTTCATTTAGGCCTTTTTTAAATTTTATTATTATTTTTTTTTGGTCTCAGTGCTCCTGTTATGTAGTAGGGGAGGAACCTTAGGTGTTCACCAGTGTGGGGCAACCCACGCCGCTGCATTGTGATGCTGTATGTGGGGCAGGGATCCGAGAAGGAACAATGGTGCTTGCTCCACTCTCTGTTGGTTTTCAGTCACTTCCCAGGCTACCCACAAGCAAATTGGGCCCTTCTGGTGCTGATTCATGGGTGGGTGGGTTTGTGTATGTTCCAGGACCCTGTGGGTCTCTCCAAGGAACTCTTTTGTGAGGCTGGGAGTTTCTTCTACTGGCGCCTCAACTCCCACAGGTGTTTTCAGTCAGAGGCTTTGCAGTTTTATTTCTCTGCTCTGAAACTCTGGGTCATGCAGTCTTTCTCGCTCCGTAGTTGCTCCTCCCAGTTTATCTGCATGGGAATATGGAACTGTCAGGGGCTCTTCTACATGTTTTACATGTATCATGTCATTTAAGCCTCATAGCTACCCTCCCAAATTGCCAGTGCCAGAAAGTAAGGCACACCTTGTTCTTAAACTTTACAGCTGACCTCTGCTGTTGGTTCTCAGTATATAGAAACAGTGGTACATGGATTTTTACTCTTCAAATTTCACACCTTATGGAAACATCCAAAAGGGTACTAAAAGCCAACAATATAATGGTATCTTACCATAATATTTTATATCATCATTCTGAATACAGTTCATGATCTGAATTGTGGGTTGATATGTAACTTTTTAGAAAGAAAAGATTTAAAGATTATTCTATCTTTCTACCTCATACCAACTCTAATACTTGTCTGTGATCTTTTTCCTCCTGGAACTTCACTTCTTTACATGTGAAACAATCTATGCAAAGATAAAACAAACCTAAAGCCACTTGGTAATTGTGTTCAGAAGTTCCAGAAAACAGCAACAATATCCATTTAATGCAGGAACAGTGGATGCTGTTCATATTTTAAGATATTATACTTTTGCACTTTTTTAAGTGTCATCCCATTATTTACTCTTTATGAGAGCACTTTTACAAAATGAAAATGCCTCTTGATTCTTGTACTTGTCCTAAAACTTTCATTGGATCAAACAGCTTAGGAAGGGCCCAGCACTGGTTCCTGGATATCAATCAGTCCCATTTGCTCCAGCAAATTCAAGTCTTGGATGTGTCCAAAAGGGATCTGGTCATTATGAGGCATGGTTTAATTTTGAAAAACTCCTAGAGATGCTTTCACTCTGAAGAGCATAGATTAGGAAGTAGTAGCAGATCACAGGAATGAGTCCATTCTAGTCACCAAAACCACCATTTGTTACTCCAGCAGAGCCTTGCTATGAGTTAAAACAACAAAACAAATTCCTGATAAGTCAGTTACTCAAATACGCCATATTGAATTCACCAAACTTTGCTGACCATTAGTTTGAAAACTACCTAATTGTTCAGGGAGATTCCAAAAACAACTACATGGAGATTGCTGGTAATGAAAACCCTCTGACTATGTCATACCCAAACTAACGCCTTTATGTCAAGGCTTACTCTGTCTTTCCTTCCAAACAAATTGCCACTATTATCCATTATGGATTCTAGTCAATTTCATTCAGAGCGCCAATCAGGAAAATGTCAACTCAAAGTGGAGTTTACAACAAATCTAGTTTTAAAAATTTTTATTGAATCTATCCGGTGACATTGGTTAGTAAAATTATATAGGTTTCTGGTATACAATTCTATAATGTATTATCTGTATATTGTATTGTGTGTTCAACACCCAAAGTCAAGTCTCCTTCCATCACCGATTATACCCCCTTTATCGTCTTCTACCTCCTCCCAACTCCTTTCCTTCTGGTGATCAGTGTACCATTGTCTGTGTCTGTGAGTTGTTCTGTTTGTTTTGTTTTTGCTAGTCCCTTCACTTCTTTCACCCAGCCCCTGGACACCTCAGACCTCTGACATCTATCCGTGTGTTCTCTGTATCTGTGAGTCTGTTTCTATTTTGTTTGTTAGCTTATTTTGTTCATTAGATTCCACATATAAGTGAAATTCTATGCTATTTGTCTTTCTCTGACTGGCTTATTTTACTTAGTATAATACTCTCCAGGTCCATACATGCTGTTGCAAAATTTTGCTGTTGCAAAATTTCCTTCTTTTTTAAAGGTGAGTAGTATTCCATTGAGTAAATGTGCCTTAGCTTTTTTAGCCACTTATCTACTGTTGGGCACTTGGGCTGCTTCCAAATCTTGGCTATTGTATATAATGCTGCAATGAACAAAGGGTACATATATTCTTTCAAATCAGTGTTTCCTATTTCTTTGGATATATCCTGAGAAGTGGATAGGAAGAATTAACACCATTAAAATGTCTGTACTACCCAAAGCAATCTATAGATTCAATGCAATGCCTATCAAGATTCTAATGACATATTTTACAGAACTAGACAAATATTCCAAAAATTTATGTGGAGCCACAAAAGACCTGAAATGACCACAGCAATCTTGAGAGAGAAGAACAAAGTTGAAGGAATCATGCTACCTGATATTAAACTATACTACAAGGCCATAGTAATCAAAAGAGCATGATACTGGTGTGA